CAAGTTTTTCTTAATGTATTACGGGCTGCACAAGTTTTTCTTAATGTATTACGGGCCGCACAAGTTTTTCTTAATGTATTACGGGCCGCACACGTTTTTCTTAATGTGTTACGGGCCGCAAAAGTTTTTCTTAATGTGTTACGGGCCGCACAAGTTTTTCTTAATGTGTTACGGGCGGCACAAGTTTTTCTTAATGTTTTACGGAGTTTTTCTTAAGGTGTTACGGGCCGCACAAGTTTTTATTAATGTATTACGGGCCGCACAAGTTTTTCTTAATGTGTTACGGGCGGTACAAGTTTTTCTTAATGTATTACGGCCGCACAAGTTTTTCTTAATGTATTACGGCCCGCGCAAGTTTTCCTTAATGTATTACAGCCCGCACAAGTTTTTCTTATTGTATTACGGGCCGCACAATTTTTTCTTAATGTATTACGGGCCGCACACGTTTTTCTTAATGTGTTACGGGCCGCACAAGTTTTTCTTTATGTAATACGGCCCGCTTTAAATTTTGTGTTGTGCAGGCCTGGTATATACTGATAAAGAAATAGCCGGGAAGGGGGAGGGGGGAATTATTTGTGAGTTCCACAATTGTTACCAGGATTGTAGCATTATTTGTGAGTTCCACAAATTTGTTACCAGGATTGTAGTATTATTTGTGAGTTCCACAATTTGTTGCCAGGATTGTACTATTTTTTGTAGCCCTGGTTTCTCCGATGCAGATTATTATTGCGAATGTTACTAGATTTCAGACGTTTAATACCCGTTTTTTTTTTTTTTAAATTTCAAAATAATGTATTATCATATTTCCATCTCCATTCACCACTGTGTGAATAATTGAAAGGATAAAGGTTGCTGGGGCCCCAACCAAGGGGTCTAAACTGAGCAAATCTCAAGTTGGTGGTCTGGCGTTCAATCCACGCCAAAGCCCAGTCCAGCAAAAAAAACATCACCAGCACCCCGGGGTGGATGGGACTCGTTAGCTTTGGATGGGAACTCATCTAAGAGAAGGAAACTCTGAATTCAAAACCCCGGAGATGGCGTCCCGTAAGCGGATAACATTGACACAATGAAACATTACAACTCCTGCGACCGCCACTGGTGCCAAACCGTACCATCCGCATGATGTTCCCATTGGGTTATCCAGCGGCGTGGATAGATGCGATTTGCTGTGTAGGGAACCAGGCCTAATAAGAATAGTCCCATTCCGTGTGTAATGTCGTCCTGCGACTTCGCGACACAGATGAAAACCCGTGCATCATCCAACCCGTAACAATGCACGCAGATTAGACCCGATCAAAATCAGATCCCCCATTTAGCATCATTGTACCCAAGTACATAATACAATTTGGCACCTGATAAATATAATATGCACCACTGTACCCAAGCACAGGAAACATGTGGCACCGGATGACCCCACTAGGCACCGGTGTACCCCAAGCACAGGAAACATGTGGCACCGGATGACCCCACTAGGCACCGGTGTACCCCAAGCACAGGAATCATGTGGCACCGGATGACCCCACTAGGCACAGGTGTACCCCAAATACAGGAAACATGTGGCACCCGATGACCCCACTAGGCACAGGTGTACCCCAAACACAGGTGACATTTTGCGCATCGATGATCGAGTGCGCCCGGTCGGGGTTGGGGAAGCTTGAAGAGATTATTGAGGAAATCAAGTACGGCACTGCCCAGCAGATGGGGCACTGACCTGGGCAACTAATCTTGATGACCTGGGCAACTAATCTTGCTGACCTGGGCAACTAATCTTGCTGACCTGGGCAACTAATCTTACTGACCTGGGCAACTAATCTTGACCAAACGTGATCTAAGAACTCAGTATAAAGTAGAGAAGTGTGATTTCAAAGATAGACTCCATTCACGTTGAGATGGCCGTAGACTCCTTTTACGTTTAGATGATCGTAGACTCCACTCAAGTTGAGATGGTCGAAAGGAACAGATGATAAGAGGCCTACCCCCCATCTTCAAGTGCGCGCACGAACTTTACTCGTAATAACACTCGAGATAACACGGAATAACCTATCATGCTAGAAGCATCTGGTTGTATAACACTAGAAATTGTATTGATTAAGTTGGTCTTTGTTCTTCTCTACTATGACTTGAAAGGCTTATGAAGTTCATTTCCTGATGCCAAGCAAAAATCGTTACAATTCCCTATAGGTCTTTGGGTTGTATGAAAAAAAAATTCAATTGTTTCATTATTTTTTTTACAAGTGAAAATGCATTCATGAGATCCCCGAAGAACGTGGCGCTTTTAATTATTTTTATTTTAGTGTGTTTGTGGATTAGCACGGTTTCACTCTAAACTCAATTACTGAATCAATGTCTCCTGACACACGATCTTTTTTAAGTCTAATAGAGTTTTGAGAGGGGGGGGGGCAATTTCAACCCTTAGTGTGTGTGTGTGATTCATCTATAAAGTAAACTTATCAAACACCCCACCCCCACCGCCCACAACATTTGCGCTTTTGACTGATCCCACAATGAAAGTCCGTTACCATGATCTTTGATGCCTACAAATAAGCTCCAATTTCAGGATTGCGTCCGATATCTTCCTATTAGCAATTTTATGTCAAGTGATTGAGTGTAACTTAACTTATACTTGACATATATTTGCGTTTTCATATAAATTGTTTAACTTCCAGCATGGTACCGTTATTAATTTAGAAATACTAGACTTGACGTTAATTTTAGTTGTTAAATCAATTCACCTTTTATCTTTTATGAATGCGATTGGTGTATCTGTTTCTCTTCATGTGTCTCAGGGTCCAGCATACTGGGAGTCGTTTGAGAGCGCAGGTACAACCAAGCGGACACATGCATACATTTTAAGACAATATTAATATCGTGTCTGCACAGTGAAAGGAATACAACAAGGTTAGCCAAACCAAAAGTAAAAGGCTTCGCCGGCCACTTTGATGGCGAGCAGTTGTAAACCGTTTCAAACACAAACTCAACACTGCAAGTATAAAATTGTTTTTGAACGTAACACTGTAAGTATAGAATTGTTTTTGAACGTAACACTGTAAGTATAGAATTGTTTTTGAACGTAACACTAAGTAAAAAATTGTTTTTGAACGTAACACTAAGTATAGAATTGTTTTTGAAGGTAACACTGTAAGTATAGAATTGTTTTTGAACGTTTTGTTAATGCACATAAGCTAAATAACAAAACGTAATACCGGTAAAACTAATTGCCCATTTTTTTTCCTGTTCTTTCAGCTTTATATATATATATATATATATATATATACATATACATATATATATATACATATACCGGTATATATTTGTATTATTGATATCTTCGTCAACTGAATGAAGAACGAATGATATCTTATGATAAATCATGCAACCCTTAGTCCGCGATATATCAATTACAAGAGACAAGCAGAAACAACAAAGAGTCAAAACCAGGACTTAACAGTATAGACTTTTAATGGTATGCACAACAAATTTGTCAATGTTTGTTTCAAAACATGACCCTTCAAGTCAACTGTACAAAAAGACTGTTGTGTGCAGATGACCAATGATGATCAGTAATTATCAAATTTCTAATCAGTCAGTCAATTCAAAAAAGTTTTGCACATAATGCAAGCATCGGATCTCTGATGCAGATAATCGTTCACTTTTTTTAAAGCCCTGCCCTCCATAGCCAAAAATAAAGCCAATTTGTTAACAGGAAATGAGCGAAACAAAGTACTTTTTGGGGAAAACATGGAAAAAAGAACGCAACAAAACGAGCACATCAGCAAGATGCCTTCATCAGCAAAATTACAGTAGAAACAGAATTAAATAAAAATAACACTGAGCTGGAGTTGTATACGAGAGGACAGCAAGAGTATGTCCTCTCGGATACTACAGTACAGCTAAGTAGTGATTTGTTGTTTGTTCGCATGATGAAGACTTCTTGCCGACACGTTTGTTGCATTCTTTATTTCAGGTTTTCCCATACCTTTTTCGCTCTTTTCCATTGTTCTCTGACCTGATTTCAGTTGTCCCAAATTTTTAAAATGAATTTGTTAACTGTATGTTTACATTATTAGCAACCTAGGTATTAAAAACTTTTTTTTAGTGGTACTTTTATTTTTAAAAAACTAATCTTGGAAGCAGCAAAATCTGATACAAATTTTTTTTTTCATTCTGAATGCATAGTTGGCTATGGAAGGCAGTGGTGGATGTAGTGCCAGTGTATCTGACATTAAGGGTCATTAGTGCCCCATCAGCAACACTGTTTTGTTTGTATGAGTCAACCAACAGCTACATCCGGTCAAGTTAAATAACATGGGCCAAGTGATCCTGATGGAATTTGACCAAGGAAAACCTAACATATATGCTGGACCAAGTTCACAGTTGAGGCACCAAAGTTTTAAGCTGTGTTGTTTACATTTAATAACTGGATGGTAAGTACATTTTTATTTTAAAAAAATTAAATTAAATTCTGGAATGAATATTTATATATACCGATATCCAACATTTTTACAGAATTAATTTTTTTCCCCCTTCTTTTTACAGAGCCAGCATTTCAAATATTTTTAACATAATTTATGTGTTAAATGTTTGCCCAAGGAAACACTAAGCCAAGTTTTCAATGATCAAATCCCAACCATAAATTTTACAGTTTCATAGTAACATTTATTATTCAAGTAATAAAATATGTTGTTTTATTTAAATGTTATGATGTCTAGGACCAGTTACGGTCAACTCAAAGGTTACCAAGACATACTCGAATCACTCAAGCGCAGTTAAAACAAAAAAAGTACATCTTCAGCTACTGAAAATTAAACATTAAAATAGCTCTTTTAAAAAAATATTTAAAGAGAAGTCCTAAAATAATTACACCATAAACTGAAGAAATAAAAGTATCCATTAATGCATTGCTATCATCATTTTAAGTTTCAACTGTTTACAAAAATTTAATTCAACGATCAATTCAAAAAAGGAAAAATCATTTTCTGTGATTTAAAAAAAAGGTAAAGGGATATAACTCCAAACAGAAGTTTGGCTGAAACAACAAATTTTTTTTTATAAAGATTAGATAGCTGAGAAAAAAAATGGTTTAAAAACTTTTCAAGTCAAGACCCAAAAAGCAACTAACAGCTAACAGAAAATAAAATTAGTTATTATATTATACAACACATGTACAAATGATTAAAAAGCATTCAACGTTTCTTATTAAAAAAATAATAAATCTTAAGTCTAATATTGGCAACAGCTTTTCATGATAAACAGGTTCCTAACAGTAGTAGCTGCTCATAGTGCATTCTGGGGGGAAAAAAATGAGGTTAGGAGGATGCCATCATTAGACATTAGAACTATGATTATTTTGTGGAACTAAACACTGCATGTAATCAAATAAAGTTATTTACTTTTTAAACAATAGAATAATTTAAGATTTAAATTAAATAATCATTTCCAATCTTTATTTCATCTGTTTTTTTAAATTTTTTTACAATGTGGCTATTGTTTTCCAAATTAAAGATTGGACTTAGATAGTGGAAAGCATTAACTTACTTCACTAAAATTTATATTTTTTTTTTTAAATAAGCAATTTCATTTGAAACACATTGTATTTTCTGATACAATAAGCAAACGAGATACAATTCAAAATTTATGTTTATTTTCTGAAGCCAACAACTGACTTAACATCAGCTCCTGCTATATCTACAATTCAAATAGAAAAGCAGTGCCGTCATTCAAGTTAACACTGCACAAAACACATGAACATTTAAGTTGCATGAATGTATAAGTTCTTTTGAAATTTAAAGTACTTTTTACATCAGCTGGAAAGGAATCCCTTTAATTTTAAGCTTAATCTGTTACAACTGAGTAAGGATGAATGACTGTGACACAGCACCTCTGACAAAGTTAAGAAATGGTAACTTGTTTGATTTCAAATTTCTTTGTATACTACTTCCAAGCATAAATTGATCAAACACAGAAAATGATAACAATGAATTAATCACAGAGCTAATATAGAACTATGCTCGCTCCCAAGTTAAAAAAACACACGCTTAAATGGGAAAAATCAAAGTTGTTACAGAGTGCTTAAAAAAATATTCAATTTTTAGAAATTCCCTCTGCATATTAATTTTTATGTCAGAAGTCAGGTGAACTCTACCTAACCATTAGGTAAAAAATTGCAGTGATAAAGAAAAGTATGAATACATTTTCCAACCACCAACTATAAACTGCAGTTCAATGATCAATAAAGAAGATACACAAAAAAATAATATTCATGAACAAGAGGTACATGTTTTTTTTTTTAATTTGTGTTTTTATGTTTTCCTTCTTTACAATAAAAACAAGTGTAGGGAAGCTTATGATGGCTTTTATTCCTTGAATTTTTAAAAATATAATAATTTTTAGCTTTTGGATCATTGGATTCCAAGGAACAACTCTGTGTAATTTACACATGAAGAAAAAAATAAGCCAAAACAAAAGAATTACCATTATTTTGACACCCTTAATTTTATCTAAAATTCTGACTAAATAACATCAAAGCCAACTGCTTGAAGCAACATCACCATTAGCTTCCCTGAACTTCTTCAACACCACAACACTAGAGATTAGAAAAATTGAACCAAAACGTCGACCAAATCCTGTACATAACAAAATTCTTCATATATAGTAGCTTCTGTGTCACTACATGCTCACTGGCAGTGGAAATGTGCTTCATCCAATTCATAAACTTTCAATTTACAAAATCCAAAGAATAGCAAAAACTCAGTTTTTAGAAACACCCCTAGAACTAACAGTATCAAGTACAAGACAAAACGCATTGTTTTTGCTGTAAAAAACAATGAAGCAATTCAGCTTTAATAAGCTATCATATTATTTGCATACATAATTTGTATTCTGAAGATATTTTTAAGTATATGTGAAAGTCTGTTCAATGCCTAATTTACCATTTCCTAAGGGAAGGTATTTTTACCAGAACTGGTTGAAAAAGTCTTTTCCCCTTTATATGTTCTTAAGAAACACCTTTGAAACCAAATAGTTTTACTGTCATATTACAGTATAAAATTTAATTATATTTAAGCATTACATGTGTATTAGTTGCTATAAAACTTCAGAGCTTTTTTAAAATGAAATTTCACATTTATCACACATTGTGTAACATTAACATTAGCCTCTGGAGCCATAAAAACTAAGACTTATTGCAGTTCAAGGCTTCAACCATACAAATTAGAATTTTTAAGTTCTGGTTTGATGAACCGATGCTAGACATTTTAAAATCCAGGACACCTGATAAAAACACCTGCAAACTCACACAGGTCCCATACCACTGCAGAATTTTGTATTCAGCAAACCCTTACATCTCTTACAAGCTTTTCAAAGACCTTTAAACAACAAAACCTGGAAAACCAATACATGTACCTAGTCTGAATAATTAATTTATACTAGAACCCAGATACAAATGTCTAACAAAATTATTTCTTAAATTAAAATAGTTAACAATTAATAAATGAAGTACATGAAAATATAGGGGTCAAATGCATTAATAACTTGGGTTTCTCATTTAAAAAACAGTAATTACTTCTAAAAATTTAAGCTGAACATAAATGATAGCACAAAAACTTTACTTGTGTTGAATGATTTCCTTTGCATCTACACAAAAGAAACTATTTTTGTTTTAAAGTACCGGTATCTAAATATCATGAGAACAACAGTCACAATTTTTAGTGAGTTACATGTAAATGTACAAGACTTTTAATAATAAAGATATGATGAGGGAATAAAATCACAAATGATATTACCAGCACACAATGAATAATGATATAAGTATAAATATAAAATATGACATCTACGCAATTTCTCATTTGCACTAGATTCAAAACAAGGTTGGTAACAATCACTACATTAACACCAACTGTTGAGTCATAAAGTAAAATAACTTTTAAAAAATTGTTTGATTTTTTTTTTAACGTTTACTGTATCTTTTTATTGTTGATTTCCCCTTGTTTTAAAAAACCAAAAAAAAAAAAAAAAACCCATTTTTTATTTTAAAAAATTTTTTTTTTTTTTTTTAACTTTTATTTTATTTTTTTTTTTTTGTTTTCCCCTTATTTTAAAAAAACAAAAAAAAAAAAAACACCCAAGATGAAACAATTTACAAAATGTGCACATTGTTTGACTAAATGTGTTCAAATAATTCAACATAAAAGATCCTTAAATTCACAATAAAAAATTAACCTAAATTCAGATTAGCAGTGAATCTGATTCACCAGCTTTTTTTTTTTTCTTTTAGAATTACAATTTACTATCCCTATTGATGCTAGCAGAACAAAATATTTACCTAATATAATTTTTTTTTTAAATGCTAAAATCAATTTTGAAACGTGGTGCTAGCCTTTTGTAATACTGAGAGATTTCAGGCAAAATATTGGGGGCTCAAAAGTGCCTCCTGAGTGTCACCCGCAGTGATGAGACCATTTTAAAGCCAGGCTTAAGCAACACATGATACCTGAACCAGGCTTTTGGGCTACGGATGGTTAACTGAGAGTGAATCAACAGTTATCACCAATGCCCTGATTCAATGTATGGAATTGGGAGACCAAATAGATAGCCACCCACAGTTCAGATATAACTTCTTTGATTGGCATACTGTCGCCTTCTGTCATGATCCTTTAGAACAAGATCAGCTAGAAATTATTCAACGCCAAATGCATTGAATGAATAAGAATTTGCACAACAGTGAGTACTGTGCATTTACCTCAAGTTTAGCACCATATGTCCATAATGAAGTTTTAGATTTCATAATCTCTTTAAACAGAGCTTTACTCAGAACAAGATGAGTAAAAACCTTTTTAGCGACTTAAGTGACACATTCAAGTCGCACATCACCCAAAGATTAAACTGTAATAAGGGGGGACAATCCAAGACACTGCTCAAGTGGAATCGATATAAAAATTCCTGCTCTTCATAAACCAGATCTCTCATTATTTACAAGTAGAACAAACAAATCTTATGCATACAAAATCTACACACCTATATCAACATAGTACTGAAAACCTCCCCTGTCCCACCCAAGTTTAACCATTGTTTCCTAACAACAAATACATTGGTCATGACAAGATATGGCGGATCCTGAAGTGGTAGGATGGTCTCACAAGCTTGGTTGCCCGGTACTTGAGAACATCCTCCACACTCATCTTAGACGCCGAAGCTGTCAGCAACCACAGCATACATCTAGACGTGATCACAGCACGCAGACTACACAAGCCATCCAATCAAAAAGCACATTTCCTCTGCAGTTCGTCTGTAGCGAGTTTAGGTGAGATATCACAGGCAAGACGCAGGGGCTGCCAATTTACTCCGGCTCCGGCTTTGCACTAGATTTGTCTACAAACTCGGAGATGATGTCACGGAACCTACCCCATGACCTTTCTGGAATGGTGATTGCCGTACGGAAATTGTTTCTGACCTGCAATTCAAACAAAATTATAACAATTCCTTCCCTTAGACATATATTACTAATATAACACTTTAAAGCTAGTGATAAAATTCTTTCATAGCTAATGATGAATAATATGAAAAACACTAATTAGTATCCTTACAATTACAAAGCTTAGTAAGGACAGTCCAATCAAAACTGGGAGATTAAATTTTTCAAGACAACCGTATATCTCCTACACCATAAAACATATGGCTTTGGTCAAAGACAGTTAAATTGTGCAAAAACATTGAAGTTTAAATATTCAGTTGCTTAACTCATTCCCTCCTGCAATGCTACTTCCGTATTTAATTTATTTGCCTGAGAAAGGGATGTAACCCCGTTTTGAAATTGTTTACATTTTTTAAATATGTATTTAAGCTACTAAATATTATTTAATGTTAATGAATTAAGAACAAATGCAACAAAAAATGAATAAGGTGTCATATAAATATAACATTTGCGGGGCAAAAAATAACGAACAATGACCAAAAAATAGATTTTCAGCACCTCGGACGAACACCTGCTACATATAGACGCGCCGTACTAAAGCACACGTAGTTTTAAAGTGAAACAAGATAAAAACTTCCGGTTTTTAAATTAAAATCATGCTGAACCACGCCATCGCCGGAAGTCTCGGGGGATGGGAGATTTCATTGCTATTTTTAAATAGATATGAGAGAGGTGTGTCGCTATGCGCCGGGACGCATTTGGATGCATCCGGCGAAACCCGTAAAAGACGCATTTAGTCGCAAACGTCGGGAATGAGTTAAAATAAACTGCTAAACCCACTTATTATTTTTGGGGAATAAATAGAACAATGTTTTTGTGAAGAGCAGCTTAACGTTTATGAATGGAATTACCCTCAGAATATATAAAAGTCAAGGAATGAAAAGAGTACTCACACTCACCTCCGAGACGCGAAGGTATACGCCTCTCCTGTTTGAGCCAACATCAAAGTAAAACATTTTATTTTCAACTCTCATTGAGCGGCTTTCAGGAAGCTCATTCTGTGGCTCTGTAAATAAAATGAGACATTTCATCATCAAATAAAAAAAATTGTTTGCTGCTCTTTTAAGAATTTTGACTACCGCTCTCTGTGTCCAAGTCTAAATAGAAAATATTATGCTGGTTGACCAGCAGATATCTTTAAAAATGAAAGCACTTGTTTATATGTTTTAGTTTTGTGCTAAGTTTTGCCAAAAATAAAACTAAAAAATCTATTTAAAAAAAATATTAAAAAAAATTATAATTCAATCCAGCAGCTCAGGAGCTTTAGTCAGCTTGTATGAATAATTTATAATTTTTTTTTGTAAGCTCGTGTGACATAATTACATAAATAAAGTGAAATTTATCCATAAAATGCTGTGTCACATGTATTTCATTAATATCCAAAGCTGTTGCTTTGTAATCACTAACTTCCCGAACCCCCATCATTGATGCAAGTAATCCACTAGCGATTTCTTGTGTATTGGCTGTCACACATGCAATGTAAAGAAAACTTTTTGGTTCATATAATTTGGATCACATTGGTGTCACGTTATCTCTGGGAAAATTACAAAAATCAACCTCCTTTTATATTTAACCACTCTACATTTCTTTAAATAAATACTTAAGTTACAATCGTATAATAAGAAGTTTGTTCAAATAATTCATAATCGTAATTGAGCATTATTTGAAGCATCAGAAGATAATTTAGACTTAAAGATNAGTTTAAATTTTCTTATCAAAGTCCCTACACTATTGGCCACTATTAGCGGTGCTGACTCTAGCCTCTGGTATGTACGGAATATTAAACATTAAACAAGCTCAACGCTCGAAACAATCGATTAATGTATCGTGATCGTGTGGAATTCGGGAAAGAGAATTACTTTTATTTCAGATTATGATCCGGTGAGTCACAAAATCTGGCAAATTCCGAAATCCGGTATATTCCGGATTCCGGTTGTTCCGGATACATGTAAATCCGGCGGAACCGGATTTCACCGGATAGTGCAAAATCCGGCAGAACCGGATTCCGGACCGGGGTCCGGCACACCCCTATTAAAGATCCTTGATTCTTAAAACTCCCCTTAATCACATTTAGTTTTAAATCTAGAACAGCTCATGTGGTTTCAGTTATTTAAAACATGTTATCAGTTGAATGAAAATTAAATCTATGACACCACACATACCTTGGTCATCCGTGCCAAACTCTTCAAGAAGCTCAGTAAGTGCATCTCTGAACTCAATCATACCTTGGGCAGGGATAGCAATCTGGGATCGAGGACCACCTCGTGGGATAGTCTGAGAGACCTGTTCAGAAACCTGACGGTCAGCAAACGCGTGAGGCGAACAGGAGATGAAAAATGATCACTTGGGATGGGACAGATGAAAACAACAACAACATACAACAAGGGCACATATCTGTCTAATTCATTGAAATAAAAAACATAAGGATAGTAGGAACTTTTGTTGTAAATCCATTTTATCACAGTTGTAAAAAAATTCCAATACACTTGCAGATGGTTACTCAACATCATGAGTTCAGTTTATAACATGACAAGATCAAAAATGATAACTCATAAATCCATAAATAAAGGACTTTTTAAAAATAAGATTTAACCATATTCAACTTATTGTGACTGGGAAAACAACACCCTATCAAAGACATATGAGCCGCACAGGTTCTGAAAATTAGATGAGTGTCATGATTTAGTTTATTAAAAGAATTTTATTCTGTTTAAAAAGCCTACATAAAGTTCAGTGGGCTTTTTGAGCAAGGTACAGGTAGTAAGGCGTTGTAGTAATAATAATGCTTTTTAGTTTGTAGTAATAGTAATAATGCTTTTTAGTGGGTACACATTTCCTAATTTAATATGGCAGCAACAACAAACAGAAACAGTCACAGGTGAGACAATGTTTTGTGTAAATGCTAACAGGGAATGATGAAAGAAGAATGTAAAAACTCAAAGAGAGAAACAAATTAAGTTTAGATTAGAATAAAAAAAAGATCTTCAAAATAATTTGTATTTAAATATTGCACATCTATTAAATGGTTCTTATATGCAGATGCAGCCCAGCAAAGAGCAAAATAGGTTATTACGCTTGACAAAAAATTTTTGATGAAAGAAGGATTGATGATGTAGAAACAGATTTTTATCCACTGGAGACAGGCTTTTAATTAAAATAAATGTTTTCTTAAATTGCCATTAACCAGTGTCAACAATTGTGAAATTAGACAGAAATAGGAAAAGTTTGAAACTTATGTAACCGTGAAGGAAGGAAATATTCATCACATTTTTATTTTAGCTCCGAAAAATCTAAAGCCTGATGACCAATTTAAAAATATATAGTTACCCGAAGAAATCGGCCACGTTGGTTTTCCTTGAGGTCCAAGTAATAACGACGATTGTCTTTGACAATCATTTCACTCTTTAATTTCCCATCTTCAGGGGGTGTTTCTGAATTGGTAGGGCCTAGTAAAAAAACCACAAAAAAAAAAAACCACAAGTAACTAGGAATTTCTGAAATGTAAGGTAACAATTATATTCTATTTAAAAATGGTAGCAAACCAATTTCCTAAAAACATCCAAAAGTTTATTTCAAGAACAACCAAGAAACAATTTATGTAAATTTGTAAAATATTTTGTTCAAAATAAAAATTGTGTTGTACACAAACATCAATTGCACCTAGACTCATGAGCGCTTTCAAGTAAGAATAGATTTATATAAAGGAAGCTGACTTTTAAAATTTCAGGGTATTTTTTTTTTTTTTGTGGATTCTAATAATTTGTTTAAGAAATCCGATTTAAAACTGCTTATCCTGTATATAGGCTTTCAAAAGTACTAAAATACTTGCTTTGCTTAAAATTTCTGATGAAATAGTATTTGCTTTAGCTATTTGTCTGGGCAATGCTTTTCAAATTTTTGAAATCTCATATTTTGAACCTTCATTTTCTGATTGTAATTTTTTAAAACTTATTTTTAGTGCCCGTAAATTTTTTGGAGCCATCACATCACGGTGGATATTGTCCAGGTTGACTCTGAAAATTAACAAATCAGTCATATCTGACTGGCTATTTAAAATTTTCATTAAAAAATTTAAAATTAATAATAAATGTGAAACTTTGGATTTACTATTTTGGAATGTTAATGGTAATAAAGAAAAATAATTTATACCATTATTTTACAAACTTATTATTAATGATTTTTGTACCTAATCAGATAAGCATGGATATGGAGTCAGATCCAGATGAGCTAAAAATAAACATTTTTTTTTAGATGATATTTCTGATGAACTTATCCAAAGAGTCTGAACCAGAGGAAATAACTTTAAATTTAGTACTTTTCAGTAGAATGATGCAAGGATTGTTTACAATAAATTTTCATTCATTAGTCCTAGGGCCTAATTGAGATACTTTAATCCAGTTCAAGCACCTTTCTCACAAATCTGTAAATGGTGGTTATTTCAAGAATGCATAAAAAAAATCCTTTTATAATGGATAGGAACTCCTTGGTTTTCACTCATCAACCTTGAGGTCAATAAATAACGTCATCAACATTAGGTTTCATATTGTCAACATCCAAAACTATGTAAATAAGGTTTATTTATAGTTACCCCACTACTTTTATTCTAATTTAATGTTCAATAATTTTCTAAGAATTAATTTGATGCAGTATAGACTTTCCTTTGTTTATCTAAATATTTCAATCAACTTACTGAGGTCTAAGGAATAAAAAAGATTTTATCAGCTGAAAGTCATGACAAATTTTTTTTTAATAAATGCTTAATTTTAGTTTAGGTACTGGGTACCTACTTTTATAAGAAACTTAAAATTTGTTTTAGTTTAATTTCTCATTGTTTTGTAATTAATTCTTTAAAATACTTGTTGAAAATAACCTGATCATTTTGTAGAATCCAAGTCTGATAATCTTTTTTTTTTTTAACAACCTATTGCAATGACTGCAAGATTCTTTGATTGATATAAATTTTAGGTCATATATTACTGAAAAAAATAAATTGGGACCACAGCTACAACATACAAAATCTCAGGCAAAAAGTTATCGACAAGTAAAAATTTAAAAAGGAACCTTGGAACTGATTTGGGTTGTCCAACTATAAAATTTATAAGTTCTGATCCATAATCTGTAGCTTCTGTGACTAAAATTCAGTCAGTCCTTGCCAAAGCTCTGGGCCTGGCTTGAAGTCTAACAGTAGGCCTACTTCAGTATCACTAGGACTAGTATCAGATTCACTAGAAGAAGAATCCGAACTGAGATCTTCATGGGGAATGTAAAATCCTCATCAGTATCACTTAAATCCTCTCCTAGAAAGCTTTCAAAAATATTTCTATTAGTTCTCCCAGCCGCATCCACCTTCATCCATTTTAGCTAAACAAAAACTGGGACAATAACCAGCGATATATAACTCTGATTAAAAAGTACTTATTGTTAAGTGATCAACAAACAGCTTGACCCGGATGTTGATTTAATTATTAATAAAAGGAAGTGGCTATAATTTTGGTTAAATATTGGATTGTAAGTTTTTTTATGTGACGATTTTTTCAGCTGCCACAGTACAGAACGAAAATATTGGCAATTTTTTTTTTTGGCTGACCACAGCTTTTGTGTTAAACTTTCAAGATGTTCATTTTAATAGTACGAGTTCCATTTTCTATTTAGCAGCAGGTAAACAGCTATCTGCTGGCCGCTTAGCCAGGTATAGGTTTGAATGAGTAAAAGTCAATCAAATTATTAGTAACAATTTTCTAATCAGCCCATTTAATTAGTGTTTTAGTAACATCTTTTAATGTGTTTATATACTACAACATGGCCTGATACCTGAATCTCACGTAACAGACAGGAAAGGTCATAGCAAATTACAGATATATGTACATCAACACAATCAGAGATAAAACTTTATAATTCTATATTATAAAAAAAGTCTTTCTTCAAACAGAATACCAACACACAAATTTTAAAAAAATACAAGCTGTTGTGCAAAGTCTTGATGTGAAAAAAATCAATGACAAGGTGACAACTCACTGTGCTCACCTAACGATGCGTAGTGATCTGAGAAATCAGATAAAAAGTCCCTAAATTCAGCTGCAGAGGACATTGCAAGAAGGAGGCGACTTTTTTTCCCTCCTGCACCTACCTGAAAAAAAACCAACATGCATATAAATTTTTAAGGTTACTTTTACATTCAAACATCATATATAACTTAAACATTCATGAGAATATAATTCCATGTTAAAATATTTTGGATCAAACCGATTGGTATTAAAAAGCAGTAAACTGAACTAACCTCAGCCACCTTGATAAAGCGGCCTCGCCTGTTTTGTTTCACATCTAAGTAAAATCTTTTAGACTGGATGTGAAGTGTGCGTGTGGCCAGCTCTTGCTCCGCAGACCCACCTATTTAAACAAATAGTATGAACATCAAAATTTAAAAAGTTAAATTAAATTTTAAAAATAAGCTTTAAACTCAAAAAAGTCCAATAAAAAATTCCGATTGATTATAATTAATCAAGTACCATAACGCATCTCTGACAATTTTTCTTTGTATACTGAGCATATAAATTCATTTCAATGTCCTGATTTGTGAATGATTATTTTAAAATTTTATCAGAATTATTAAAATATACTTACCAGGATCTGAAGCTTCTGTTGGAAAGAAAACAAGATGAAATTGTTAGCTCATGGGCTTCAATGGGCTTGTGTGAATTATATATAATTGACAAATTATATTGTAGCTTTTGTCTATATAAAAAAGGATTCCAAAAATAAATATTATTTTGCTAATGAAGAAACTTCTCAAGAGCTTAATCTTGTGGCAACCTGAACCCTGAAATTCTCTAAATGTTGGAGATGACTCATCTGTTCTGGCTGCATGGTGTCACGTATCAAATGAGTTTAATAAAGAAATAGTAGTTTTAGAATTAAGGCTTGAATAGTAGGCTTAGGCTTAATAAAAAAATACATATTCCATTTTTACTGTAAAAGCTGACAACTCACACTTCATTATCTCCTACTTATTAAATAAAGTTATTACTTAAGCTAGAAATTTGGATTTTGTTTCAATTTTATGTCTGATTCTGTAATTAGTTTGATGTGATATTTTTTTTATTTTATTTGAGTCTATTAATACTATTATTACTATGTCTGTGTCAGATGTATTTGAAAATTTTGATTTGGGGTACCTAGTCTATTGATTTACATCTCAAAACTAACAAAACTTGTGCAAACTAAGTAAAAATCACAACATTATATTATTAATATGATGATCTGTTAAACTATAATTTACAAGGCCTCTAAATGGCACTAGTACCCCAAGGCCCAACTATTTAAAATAATAATTTAGGCCTACTATATAATAATATTATAACTCAACCCTTGCCTTGGCCATAATTGTAGAGCTATTGCTACAATAATTAATAATTAGGGGCTTACACTTCTATTTATATGTTTATGTAATTAGTATAAACATAAAATAAACATTAATAGGCTCAACTGAAAAAAACAGAACTAAGTCTCAGCTAACAAGTGTATTCTGTTACAGCAGCTGGGAGTAGCTGCATGTGCCACTTGCTTCAAAATCAAAACAAATTTGACCTACTTAAGTTTTGGATCTGAAGTAATCTGTAACCACTTTTTGCAGAGAATTTTTCAAAAGAGTAAATTTTGACAAATTCTCAATTTAAAATTCCAACAATTTTTTTCAAATACTTATTCAAAACACAAACTCCAGATTAAAAAACCCCACACATTTAACCCCAGTAGGCTTATAAATCAATTCAGCAGAATAATAAAAGTACTGTTTTTTCTTGGGACAAGTCTGGCGATACATAAACAACCACGGGAATTTGGGCCTTCAATTGCACGCCATGTTGCAAACTGGACATAAACAAAATCTCTAAAAGCTCATTTTAACAATAATACTTGCTATCAAAGGAGCCCTAAACGAAATGGCTTTGGAGCCAACTTAGTGCATTATAATGTATGGATAGAAAATACACAGATGAAACCTCTTATTCATAATTTGCTTTTTGAAATCGCTATCGACGACCGCCGAATCTGACCTCGTCGCGTCCACTTCGCTTCAAACGGTGGTCCAACTGACCTACATTTCATTATTGTGAAAATATAAGCAGAACTCTGCCAGTGTCTAAAAATGCATTCAAGCATCTGCACATTTCAATAACCGTAAATAATAAAATACCTTGGGCCTGCGGCTGCTGTTGCTCATCTCCACTCTCTCGGTCCGACATGGTGCAACCCTCCAAAGCAAATCCACTGCCTCCTTCTGATTCCTAAAAAATTATTCATGAAGTAATACACATGAAGCAGTGACGTGTTACGAAAATACTGATGTAAATATATGCCCGGCTTTCATATTACGAATATATTAACATTCAAATTAAATATAGTTAGGATAACCGTACCGTAATGCTTATCACTATTAGCATAAAATTTTAGTAATTCAAACAAACAAAATAATTTGTTATGCGTCTCAGTAGAGTAAGGGGGGGGGGGGGGGGGGGGGGGGGGGGGGGATTGAAAATTTGAAGAAAAAAAAATCCCAACTACCAAAAGATTGAAAATAATAACTTCAACGAATATTAAGAGTGTGAATGTTTGAAAGACTTTAAATTTAGCTTTCAACGTGTGGGAAATATACATATATATTGTAGTTACTGTTATTGGGGAGGGGAATTAAACATGGGTGAGGGGGTATGAGGAGGGGTTTAAGCCCCTCGGTGGAAATTTATTATAAATTCAAAATACAGAGTCGCTCAGGACAATGTGTGCTGCCCGTCGCCTCCAACCTGTCGATGCTCTTCTGGGTAAAAGGGTCCCAGATTGAACATGCGTAATCTAAAAGATACATGATGGACTGCATTCAAATTGTATAAGTGAAATATAAGGACAAGGTATGTTAAACTTGAATTCGTAGACAGGAATTCAAGTTTATCATACCTTATCCTTATATTTCGTAATATAAAAAAGAGGCCGGGCAAAGACTTTACGGGCATTTCTCTCTCTCTCTCTCCCCCCCCCCTTTTTTTTTTGCGGGCAAAGACAACCCCCCTCTAATGTTAAGGGGCGGTTCTGGGGACGAATCGGCTAAAAACTTCCATTTTTTAACTATTTTTTTTTTGCGGGCAAAGACAACCCGCCTCTAATGTTAAGGGGCGGTACTGGTGACGAATCGGCTAAAAATATCCATTTTTTAACTATTTTTTTTGTTTGGATATAATTTGTTTCAAAAACATTTTAAAATAAATTTTAAGTAATCATTAAAAAGATATTGGACATTTTTGTAAAATATTATTTATTTTAATCCTTATAAATGGTCAAAAATTCATTTTACCGGTACAATGTTTTTAATTTTTACCGATTCATTTACTTAGAATAGAATCGAGGACCATATCGTATTTGGTATCAATGGAAAACTTTGGTACTCAAAATTTAAATAAATATAGCTTCCTATCATTTATGAAAGTTGCCCAACACTTCAATCAGCGTTGAATAATGATCAAAAGGGTGTTGCTTCAACCTTGAACTTTTAATAAAGCACGCATTTGGAATGGTTACACGTGACGGGTTATCCTTTTATTTAATTTCAATTAGACCGAGCAGTGTGTACTCTGTAAATCTGCATTTTTTTTTCCTATTTGGTATCACCGCCCTGGGATGGTGTCACCCGGTGCGGTCCGCAACCCCCCCCCCCCCCCCCCCCCCCCCCCGCCCCNCAGCTAAGCCACTGGTACGACGCATTGCAACGCGCGAAAGAACTGGATGAATTACCCAATCTAGTATAAACAGGAGCTTGACACCTGACAACACACAAGCCACCGACGTTTAATAAAATAAAACAAAGGAGCAAAAAAGTAAATCAAACGACAATAAGTAATGGTATTTTGGTTCTGTCTTGTTGCAAAGAGTTTATTTGATTGATGTACAGTATATAAAAAAAAAACATTGTTAATCATTGATAGAAACCACACGCATGCCTTCAGTCTCACCTTCTCAAGAAAACCCAATCATCCAAGCATGACTCAATTATTTAGGGCTATCGCTACACTGAAAAACCTAACCGAAAATCACCACACAATTCAGCTGTATCTAAAATTAGAAAATTATTCTATTATTCTATTTTCTATCCCGCAGTTTCATTTCATTAGCGTTTTAGATGAACGACTTCCGTAAATTGAATACAAACATTGAGAAACTAAGACAAAGCATGATTTGAAACATTGCAGAGCAAACATGACTTACCTCATATAATATAAATATAAAATTACGGCATAGCAACAAAAAAAACCACCACCAGAATTCAGTATCTTTAGTTCATAGAGTAACTGGAATACATGTAATATTATGTTTCGAAACAGCGCTACACATTTTCTAACTACACAGTGATTACTAAGAGAGAAACGTTAGGTTATCTTACAAAGTCCACAAATAAAACATGCATAGTATCTAATTCACTAATTTAAAAAAAAAATATTTTTCCTCTTCCAAACCCACATTCAATTTCATATAGAATTTTAGTTTTCTGTGCGTTTTCTGATGAATGAATAAACTCTTTCATGCATTCATGGGTAAATTAAACACTGTGTATGTTGTCCCAAGGACTAATTTAAAAAAAAGAGAAAAAAAAAGAGACTTTAAGTGCATGAAAAAGTGATAACTAAGCAGAGTGAATATCATCATCCTGACATTTTTTGACAAATTTGTGAATACATGCGTTTCTTAGCCACTTTTTTAACTACCGGTATGAGACTTAAGCTTTGAACAGAACATCAAGAGATCATTCTAAGTTTTACAATAGCTGTATAAGGGAAAGGGGATTCTTTAAAGCGGTAATAAACAAAATGGAGCATGGCTCTAACATTACTAGTACTAGTAGGGTAGTGCATAATAATAATAATAGTCAATTCATTGGAAAAGAAAGAGTTTGTATTCACCACAATTTATGGTTCTCTCCCATTTGATATCAACAGATGACACACAATTTTAACAACAAATTGCATTGACAGTCCTTTGCCAGACTGCACATGTACATTATAACAATCCCTCAGTTTTTAAATCTGATTCTGCGTGATCCAGATTTTGATAGCAAATATGTAAGATTAGAAACAACACTTTCATGCACATTTTGATAGCAAATATGTAATATTAGAAACAACACTTTAATGCAGATTTTGATATATATAATATAAAAAAAGTATTTAAAAAAAAAAATCAAGCCTACAATTTTTCTAATAGGGTATAAAAAAAATTTGTTAGAACATGGATTTGCTCCCAAATGATTTTTGTGGACCACAACAGAAGACGCAACTTGGCCAAAATGGTTAAAATTATTTCCAAAGAAAGCCCAGTGTTAATCAACCTTGGCTTATTCAAATTTGTTTTTTTCTTTTACATTATCAAGACAAAGAGGTGTAATTATTGGAACCCCATTGTATTTTTAAGATACATTAAAAATATATTCTGATTGCAAGCTCAGCACAGCATATTATGACCCCTTTGCAATTTATTAATGGACACAAGATACATTTACTCTGTCTGGATGCATGGCAGGTGTAACATCTCACCACATCCATGAAGAAACAAGACTTTGTAACATTGTTTTATTTGTTTTTTTTTGTTTTAAAGAAGTAAAAAGCATTCATTTGGTTAGCAATGGGAATATTATCATACAACTTCCAATCAAACCTCTCACTCATTCTAATGCAACAAGATGAAAGAAATGGTTGTTGTTAAAACTTTTTTAAGATGGAAAAAAATGCATGCAGAATGTCAAAATGTTTATTAAAAAAAAAAAAAAAAAAAACTAATGCAACAAGATGAAAGAAATGGTTGTTGTTAAAACTTTTTAAGATGGAAAAAATGCATGCAGAATGTCAAAATGTTTATTAAAAAAAAAAAAAAAAAGAACTGGCCTATACACATGCCTTTTGGGATTTTCAAACATTCACAGTTCCAATCCATCACAACTCCTCCGCGGGTTAAAAAATGTCAAATTAATGTTTGTGTTAGAAAATATTGAACAGCTTAAGGTCATTCTCATTTAATTCGACCCCATTCAGACCACTGAATAGGCAAAACAAATTCAAACATGTTCTGTTTTCAACATAATTTTGTCCTAATTTTTCACAGCAAGGGAAAGAACGCAATTTTTGATGCATTTCTTCTAAAACTTTCATATGACGAAGGCAATAATTATGGTCATTAACCACTGTTGAGGCGTGATTTTTTTTGTTATTAATGTAATGATCTTAGACTTATCACGAAACAAATGAATGAAAAAAAAATAGTTTTAGGTACTTGAAATTCTAATTTAAAAAATGCTGTTCCTAAATAAATAAAATGAATAATAAAAAAAATAATGGGAAAAAATTTAACGAAGCCCTAATACCCTCTATGAAAAACACATGGGAATATCAGCTGTAACTTTTTTTTTTTAAAACTAAATGCAGTAAACCCTCACTTTAAAAGAAAAACCACAGAACAGTAGACAAAATTCAGATAAGTCTTATTTTGCTAATATTACATGATTAAAGACAAACTCCAGTAAAATATGCTCTCTATGAGCCTACAGCTTCACTATAGGGCCATAACCATAAAAGGGTTATAATTAATCTCTGTATTACATTATTTGTGTCTTTAAACAAATATGTATAAATCTGAAGTCTAGTAAACAATTTGCTTTTTCAAGGATATGCATGCAGTGACTGGCTTAATCCAGTTGAATTGTCACTTCAGAAGTGTAAGAAGTTAACATTGTTTGATAAATTTAAAAAAAAAAAAAAAAAAAAAAAAAAAAAAAAAAAAAGTGAAAAAAAAAAAGGAAAAAAAAAAAAAAAAAAAAAAAAAAAAAAAAAAAAAAGATCAAGGGATTACGAATTAGGGTAAACAATAAAAAAAATTGAATGAAAATTCATGTACTTGATACGGAAGATATTTATATATATATAATATAGTTCATTATTTCATTATACACACATTCAGTCTTATGGCAACATGAAAAACCTTGGTTGAAGCCTAAATAGTTAAGCAGGGAGACCATCGCAAATTAAACTCTTCATTCTTTTGTGTTGCAAGCCATAAAAATTGCGAATTCCAAAAACAGCTCTGCTTCAGTTAATTGCATTTCTATATATATTTATTCTTTTTAAAGGGATGTTCTCTATATGTAAATTTTTTTATTTCCCAAACTGTTAAATCATTCAGCATTTCAGACTTCTGCACTGAACAATATAATTTTCAAGCTGATTTCTAAAAAAAAAAATTTAAATATTAGTTAAGATGGACCAAACCAGCTGAATTATTTATCACATGTTAATCATTGTAAATGATTCCATAAATTTTAACTTTGCTATTATCAAAGGTAATGAGGATGTTGAGGATAATGCATTTAAAATAAATTGTAAATTCTTTCTAAAAGCACAAGGACTTATACAGCAGAGTTGACCATGCCAACTGTTTTAATATGTCTGCCCAATCAGTAATATTTTGCATAAAATAAATGCTGGGTTTACAATTCATACTTGTAACATGCTTTGCTGTCTCAGCAGATAAACTGCAGACCAACATTTTTTTTTTNTATACACACATTCAGTCTTATGGCAACATGAAAAACCTTGGTTGAAGCCTAAATAGTTAAGCAGGGAGACCATCGCAAATTAAACTCTTCATTCTTTTGTGTTGCAAGCCATAAAAATTGCGAATTCCAAAAACAGCTCTGCTTCAGTTAATTGCATTTCTCTATATATTTATTCTTTTTAAAGGGATGTTCTCTATATGTTAATTTTTTTTATTTCCCAAACTGTTAAATCATTCAGCATTTCAGACTTCTGCACTGAACAATATAATTTTCAAGCTGATTTCTAAAAAAAAAAATTTTAATATTAGTTAAGATGGACCAAACCAGCTGAATTATTTATCACATGTTAATCATTGTAAATGATTCCATAAATGTTAACTTTGCTATTATCAAAGGTAATGAGGATGTTGAGGATATTGCATTTAAAATAAATTGTAAATTCTTTCTAAAAGCACAAGGACTTATACAGCAGAGTTGACCATGCCAACTGTTTTAATATGTCTGCCCAATCAGTAATATTTTGCATAAAATAAATGCTGGGTTTACAATTCATACTTGTAACATGCTTTGCTGTCTCAGCAGATAAACTGCAGACCAACATTTTTTTTTTTACAGGTTACATTTTAATTATCTGACTGAAATAATACTTAAACTAGCCCCTTTTATATTCTTTAGTGAATTTTTCAAGTTTATTCTAAAATACAAATAGGGCTAGGTTGGCCCCCTACCTAAGACCAACAGACTCCAAAACATGAGCTAAAGAGGATTTTGTAAAAGTTGTTTTGTTAGCTGTGATTAGTGCCCCAAATATTTCGGCCCAGCTTACAAAACTGTGAATGTAGATATAACAATCTAAGGAGGGGGACAGACCTGAGGTTGCTATAAAATATATTGAGAAGGTCAACAACTTAAACATTTCTTTAAACATTTACGTTCTCTTATGGAATTGGCAAGTAGCGGGTCAACAAATATTTTACACAATGCACAAATCTTTTCCCCCCTGGACTGCTCACATTGCCTTTAAATGAGTTGTGATATGCAATAAAAAGGGAATAAAGTTTGATACTTAGCTTTGAAAACAAGTTTTAGCCCAAATATAGTCAAAATTCTAGAAATACATTAAGTCCCATTAAAACAACAACAAAAAACAAATGGAGATCCTTGTTTTAATTATGTAATAATCATCAAATTGTAGCTTTAATGACAAATCTGAACATGAAAAGACATTACATTTAAATATAAGCAAGTAGAGTTTTAGAAATTTCTAAATTCTTAGCTGTCTAAAAGGTCAAGATTAAAATATCTTAATTTTGGATACTATTATTATAATAAAATACCATATCCCTATATAACATTAAATATGTTCAAGGTTTAAGTGATATTTGGGCTAAAACAGAGTTGCTTTTCTTTGACACCCAGAAAACAAAACAAAAATATATTTACAAAAAACCTCACATGTACATGACTTAACAACCAGCCACTACAAGTTCTCATCTTTCTTAAAAATGTTATCTATAGACAAAAATAAATATGCATTACACTGGAAGAAATAATGCAACTGTTATTAAAAATGGAAAACTTAACAAAAAAACAAAACAAAAACATGGCAAATGTTTGATCTCTCAAGCACCAGAAATATGTAGCTATAGGTTAAAATTGATTACTTTACTATGTTGACTTTAGAAAGAGGATGAAGTTGACAAATGTGCTTGCTGTCAGTGAACTAACACCATCACAAAACACGATAACGTAAATTAAGGCACACTAGCCTTAAACCCTATACTACAAGTTGAGCAAATATTTGGAGAGCCAAATGTCTAGATTAAATCTGCCAACCTTTTAAGTAAAGAAAAAAAACTTCATCACCTCTTACCTTTTTCTCTTGCAATTCGGGCACAAAAAGATCTATGATTAATTATGCCAATAGTAATGACTCAAGAATCCACAAAAGCAAAAAGTTCTCAAAAGCAAAATGTGTTGATGTGAGGGAGAAACAAAATTTGTTAATGGGAAAAGTAACAGGCTTTTTCAGTTCATTAAGGCACATAAGCCTACAAAAAGCCTATAAACGCTTAAAGCAAATCATAGCAGCAGAAGAATCAAAATAAAATATACAACATAATTGATTAGCTTACTCCTGTTACAGTGTTCCCTTTCATGTTGCAAGGCTTTCAACCGCCACATATATATGAAAAAATTCAAAAACGTCACCTAGATGATCTTTACTCAATCATATTTAAGACAGATTCCCTGTCGCTCATAAGGTTTTGCCTAAGAATGGCAGACGGCTATTTTCTCTGATGGAGAGTCAATTTTTTTATAATACATTTTCTTGCAGTTTTCTGATTATAAAATATAATTTGGTTTAATACTTGATGAAAATAAAACACATTGGTAATCATCAGCTGACACAACAATGACATCTTCACCCTTAGCACATGTCAGTCATAAAAACAAAACATTGATGATTAAATCATGTGCCCATTAAATCTGGGTTTCAAAAAAAGCATACTGTATCTTGGGCTTGAGATGCATCTCAGCCCTGATAGTGCATTTATGAGAATATTGGCTGTGGTGGTAATAACTGCAGGGGTGGGGAGAATTAAACTAAAGAAAGCAAATATTTAACGTAACTCCCTCTATGTTACACTGTGACGGAGTGTCTGCCGACAACTCGATGGAGCTGCTTCATTATAACAGAGTTTTTTAGAAATTGAATATGACTACCCCACAATAACTGGGACAGGCAGATAACAATTTTAATGGAAAGTAGCTAATAGTATATTTGTCTTTCATCATGAGAAAAAAATGTATACAAATTTGCGTTTATGAATACAGGAGCACAGGATACCTCTCTGACAAGTTAATGTCGCTAAAGCAGATAAGAAACTTTCCTTGTAAGCCATTATACAGCTGTGAATGTTTGCTGATAACTAGTAATGTCAGAATATTGATAGTTGAAAAATAAATATCATTTTAAAAACAGAAATTGTTTAGAAAATAAAAACAAAAATACAGTTTTTGTGCATTATATTTTCTTATTAAATGAATTTCTTAAGTTGTAAGCAGGTGCTAATCTGTGAAAAGTATGTATGGAAATAAAATTACAAGCAATTCAAGACTGAGAAAATAATTTTTAAAAATCTCTCCTTCAAATATAATGTAAAGATTCTTATCTCTCAGTCCAGAGATCCCAAAACTGTAGTGAAAATTGTTGAGAACTCATATTAACATTAATATTTTGAGTAAATTTGACTTGAATTGTGGTCAGCAACATGGGTAATGGACTGGGAGTTAGGAAGCAGTGTAACAGTCGATTCATAAGGGCTGCAGCATTCAACATAAGACAAACAATGTGAAATACTACACATAAGATTATGTATAATTTATAATATGTACCTATGTATAAAACTAAGAGCTCCGGCTTCATGATTTGTGATTGGAAGTGAGCCATGTCAAACCCTCAAAAAGACCATCCCCGGTTGTGGCACAAGAAGGCTGAACATACCAGTTGCGGTCACGTATCCGAGTCAAACCCAATTTTTCCTGTACTTCATGTGGCTTCATGGCTGAGAGATAAAATGGAATAGTTAAAATACAAAAAAAAAATATTACATAAGTAAAACAATGAGTACATCTCCAACGTGTGGGGTCACCAACAAAAATATTACATAAATAACAAAGGGTACATATATCAAAATTTTCAAATGGTGACATAACAAATCTTTGTTTAAAACCATTTAGGAATTAATAGTAAATTTATTTACATTAAATAATGCAAAACCTTAACCCCAGTTCACTGAGCATGTGAAAGTCAATGAGGCAATTTGTGTTGTTATTGTCTAGAAAATCAATAAATACCAATAAATAACTGATTAATCAGCAGTTAAAATTAGATTTTGCAACAGGTTTAAAAAAGCTCATTAAAATAATTCTTATATTGTGTGCCTCTGCTCACTATAAAATTCAAAAACTAATAATTATATCAGAAATTTCATTCTGTGGTGTAAGGAATTAAAATAAAAACCCTATGTTAATTTACCATCTGGAAGGTCCTGTTTGTTAGCAAACACAAGTATAATAGCGTCTCTCATTTCTCTATCATTTATAATACGATGCAGCTCTTGCCGTGCCTCATCAATGCGGTCCCTATCAGCACAGTCAACCACGAATATAAGTCCCTGAGTACCAGTGAAATAATGCCTCCACAGCGGTCGAATTTTGTCTTGGCCTCCAACATCCTAAAATAAGTATGAGGTAGAGTTTTGGGCTGGATAAAGCTTTGCATTTTATTAAAAAAAGCAAAAATTATTAACAAGCAGGATGAAGCCTTACTTACAAAGTAACAGACATTGGATAGATATTAAAAACAAATGAATGACAAAATATATTTGTAATAGTAAAAGAAATATTTTTTTTTTTAAACGGCAGCAAGCCTTAGAAGATACAAGTTGAACTGTGGCTCATTAAACCAAAGAACAGCAACATAAAACATATATATTTTTAAAAACAAATGTGTCACATTAAAAATTTATCATGTAGCTTCACATTAAAAATTTATCATGCAGATTTTTTTCTTATAAAAATTTCTACCGAACGCAAGTTAAAGCTCACTAAGATGTAGAAAATAGTTTACAATTTCTTAAAATGCTTTACGCAAAGAAAGACTCCAGCAGTGTAGGTTAGCACAATCTGTGGCCAAATCTAATATTTCAAAGTGAAATGGAACAACATTTTGCAAAACTGGAATTTCAAACACTTACCCAAACATTGAATTTGACACTTTTATAAGTTACTGTTTCTACATTAAAGCCCACAGTTGGAATCGTTGTGACTGATTGACCAAGTTTCATTTTGTACAATAATGCTTTTACAAGTTAAGGATTGTAAAGAGATTTACTAAATGTTTAGATTACAATTTTAGAGCATAAAAAAAATAAAGAAACGTGTCCTTAACCTTATCAGTAATCAACATTTATATAAAGTTTAAGCTATCATCACAAGAAATAAATCAGAAACGAAAACTGTAAACTTTTTGTTAAAAAAATGGGTGACGACACCTGCAACTCCATATTCAAATAAACTTGACAAAAAATTATTTTTGTACTGCAACAAACAATATTTTAAGCGTTGGGTTTTATATAAAAGTGACCTATCTTGCCACTGGTTTGTTTTGAGTGTACATTCATTCTTAAATTTCAAAGACAAATACCCATCATTGACAAAATATTTCCATGACAGGGACAGCAAGTTTACTGACATACAATTGCGCTGAACAAATAACCATTGTTGACAGTACCACAACTAAACCAATGATGAGCCTACAGCAAAAAAGTTCTTTCCTTAGAATTAGCTCTTGATTTCCACCACCGAAAGAAAGAAATTGTTCTCCATAAGATGTGTCCCGGTCTCAATGGATTGGAAATCATCAGTTATAACTCTGCATTGTTTCACTCTGGATAATGAAGGGTATGCCCTTCATTCTCCTGCCTAGATCCTTCAATTCACGTACACATAAATTTGTATGTTAATGGGATTTATAGTTTTAAAAAGTGAAGTGTACACTGTTTCCCCAGCCATGAAGGAAGTATGCATTATAAGTTCAAAACCCATCAATGTTTCAATCTGTTTGGTCCAAGTGGATTCTTAAGGGCAACAAAGAAATCAACATATTTTTCCTTTTTTAAAAAATGATTTGTTATAATATATAATAAGATTTTTTTCATTTACACTTCTGCAACTACTAATTAAAAATATCCCTGAGAGATTTATCTATGCATATTTGTTTACCCTCAAACTCTTAAAATTGTTCAATATCATAACAAAATCGTTCAATGCATTATCTTAATAGTAAAAAATAAACATACAGTATAAATAATGTATACACCTCAACATCGTACACTGTAGGCCAAAATCGCAAGAGTAAACAGGTCTGTCTATGTGAAATCACAGTGGCACCCTGGATCAAATATGGTCATTTAAAGAGTTTCCAGCACAATTCTTCTTCTTCTTCTTCTATATCTTAAGGGCCCACGATCAATTTATTGATCATTTTGGCTCCTATGCAATTATATATGTCGATGAAAACTGTGTTGATGAACTGGCTATCACAGTGTCCATGTCACTGCCATGCACTTTTTGTTGATGAAATGCGTTTGTGAAGTGTCCATCGATGAAGTGTCATGGAACCAATAGAATTACTTAAGTTTATGAGCCTGGGAGTGTAAATTTTAAAAAAAAATAGTTCTTCCATTATAAAAAAAAATGCAGAATCGACTCAAATCCAGCTAGAACCCAAGATGTGTGTCCTACGTGTGGGAAAGCTTAGGCACAAATAGAACTGGTAGACCACCTGTGTACTCACTGTTGAATATAGCGATGGTTATCATCGCATGTGAAGGACAAACCAGGAAACAAGCGCAACAACTTCTAATAAATGAACACAGATTAAATTGCAATTTAAAATGAAAAAAAAATTCTGGAATTTTTAAAAATTCCACTTTAAAGTAATAAAACATAATTTTATTATTGTAATGTAAAAATCAACAGCTGTCTATTGTTTTCAAAACTGATTGGAAGTCCAAATATTTTTTAACATCGTGAGTCAAAATATTGGCTTTTATGTTCAAAACAATGAATGTACACTGTCAAAAAATGCAAAACTAAGGCTCAGACTATGGCTACTTAGTTGTTGGGAAGGTATTAAAACCGTTATAAAAAATAAGTTACATACCAAACCAATTCATATTTTATATAAAGGATACTTGTTTTTCCTGCTGCATCCAAACCAAGCATGAGAATTCTCATCTCCTTGTTACCAAATATTTTAGATAACAGCTTCCCCATACTGACTTGGATACCTGCTGATTAAGATAACGCTGGATAAATTATATAAAATAATATTTATATACATATGAATGAAGATGAATCGTTTTGTATAAAGAAATCTTCAGGAAGTAATTCTTGCGAAGAAAAAAAAAGGAGGGGGAGGGGGGAGAGAAATTACATATTTAAAGAACACTATTATGTCAATCTTTTTGAATAACATGGCATTGAAATAAATATATTTTTAAAAAAGGAATGGACATCATTTCATAATAAAATTGAAATGGTTTTTGTGTACAAGTATACCTATTATTTTAAAAACCAAAAAATTAATGTTTTTAAATTCTTAAAAATGTACCCATATTTAGATGATGCCCAAATAAAGAATTTGTCTTTTGATATATTTATTATTAGTTCCTTACAGTGCATTGATGTGAATTACATACAGTGAAGCCTTCGGTCAAATGATGATTCATGATACTTGAAAGCACTTAAAAATTGGGTTTTCTCAGAGTGAAAACTAAACATAATTTTAAACTAGAATTTCCTGTCTTGACACCATACATGGCAACATTTGTTTCAATGCACATTTAAATCCACACAAAACTCCATATGTATAAACAAAAATAGGAATAATCAAGAAATAGGAGCAAAGAATGTGGGTGTGGGAAAAGACGGTGACACCCAAAATTATAAAACATTCACAAATTTATAAAATTAATGTTCCTTAAGTTTCTGTCATACATGTCATTTATTTGATGAATTATTTTTTCGAGGAGTAAAAGATCAATCACAAGTTTAATGGGTAGATCTAAGCTGTAAAATTATTTATAGAAAACACATATATTAAATAGAATAATGTATAACCAGCTAGTTTTCAATAAATTAACTGTTGATTATAACTAGATTATGTAGAATTGTTTTATACATTTTATATAAAAAAATACAGAACATGATGCGGAAACGTTTTGTGCAATGAATTTTAATTTCGGAAATTAGTAACAAAGATGAGACTAGACTTACATATAAAATCTGAAATTTGCTAACCAATATTTTTGTTGTATCATAATTTGAAATTGCACATAGACTCTTCAAAATTCTTCAAAAAACTTAAGAGACGTAAAAAAAACATTGAGTCTTGTTAACCAAGCTCACTTTTTAAGCGGCAAGTAAAAAAAACATATAAAAAAATTTCTCAACTGCATAAAGCTAACTTAAATCAATTTTCTAGTTTTACTATTTTGCACATTGTGTGACCCACTCCAGCTTTTAAGTTATGTATAGTAACTAGGTTTAATGATAAATTTCAAAGAAATCTTATTTTGAGAATGAATATGAGATAATTAACTTAAAAAATATTTTACACTAGACATTATTAAGCTTTGCACTGTTTGGTAATTTTAACAACTTTTGTGACTTATCTGATAAATAAAATTCATTTTTAGCAAACAGTTATAATAAACTTTTAAAAAATAAATTTAAAATAAATAGAATTTTAAAAATTTAAATAAATTCAGTAGCTCAGTGTGCAATTAATTTTGTCATAAGATAGACATAAGATTGTTAATCAAGCTCATGAGCAAACATATAAATGAAACAGGTTCATGCCATATTATTAATGCCAGGTCATGCCAAGTATGTGTTTCAGTCCCACATGCTGAACTCAAAGGATGTCCAAAAAATTATTATACATTATGAAATTGTTTTTGCTAAAAATTGGTATAAATAATATGGCTATTGGGAGTTCTTCATATTTTTTCATGTTTTTATGAGATACACATTGATTTGAATTTCTGGTTAAGTGTCATTAAAAAATATTGTTTAAATTACAAATATGATTTTTAGTATGTATGGCGGCCAAATATCACAAAAGCTGACTGTTATGACATGCAAGTCCATGTGTAGTAGCCTACTCATCTAGTATCTACTAAGATCTCTAAATTTGTATAGTCCCATAAATTATACTAGCCAACCTGAACTTTTTACCAGGACTTTTTACTGGTTTTAAATGTTTTTCAATTGGTACAACTGTACTGTATTCTGTACAGCTTTTCAATGGATTTAGAACAGAAATATTTTTGCATGACAGTGGTGACACAAGATTGAAATCTTAACTGACAGTGGAATAAATTGGTCAACAGAAACTGAAATGCTATTGGTCTCTTCAAAATGACCTTCATGTGAAAGTCTGAGATTTGTAAATTCTAAATTTCAGTAGTAACTGCTTTGAGTAGTAAACCATAATTACAAATCAGTTTGTTTAATTCCTATTATAACTTCCAATTAACACCTTAGATCCACATTGTGCCTAAAGTAAAACTAAGAAAACTCTCCATATTACTGTGTCAAGATCAGGGGCCGGGAAGCTTTATGTCTGAAAGAGGCATGGACACCACATATTTTGAAAAGTAATCTTGTGAGAGCCATACATTATGTTTAAAACTAAAAATTCAAGTACTTTGTGCATTTTGTGTAATTTCAACACTAAAAATGCAATAATTATGTCTCTGAATTCTTTTTAATAACATTGTTATGCTGTTGCTAATCAATAATGAGTAGTTCTTACCATTAATGCAACTTTTTTTTTTATAATCGAACATTTGTCTGCGAGCCAGATGAAGCCATCAATAGAGCCACATCTGGCTCGCGAACCATAGTTTCCCGACCCCTGGTCTAGATAGACAAAATGTATTTCCTTTCATTAATTTAAAACAGGAACCTCTATTTCAACAGCTAAAATAATTAACTGAAAAATATGTCTTATTACATCTAAATTGCTATCAAATTCATCATTTAAGTCAATTTATAACAAAATTACTTCTGACCAGTGTAAAAAATGCAAGATCTGATCAAAATCAGACTTAAAATTAACTATATAAAAAAAAATAGGGCAGCAAAAGGGATATTATTCATGCATGAATTCAAAACATTGATTAAATGATGATAAAGTTATAAATTAAACGTCTATATAATTTTCCTTTTTTTTTCAGTACAGTTTTTCATGTTGTAGTTTTTGAGAGGAGTTTTTTTTTACAGGTAGGCATGTATGAGTATGACGTATGCCTCAATCATTTGCAAATGATAGTGAGATCTAGGGGTGTGCCGGATCCGTTTTTTCCAACCGGATCCGGATTTTCTTATGCGAAATCCGCCGGATCCGGATTCGGATTCCGGTTTCTCCCGGATTTTGGTACTATTGGTAGATACTTCGGTAAGTCAAGGTGGACTACTACTTTTTGTGTATGGGAATTCGCAATCGGCGCCAAAAAATCCGAGTTTTTAATTTTCCGATGTGTGTGTCTATTTATTATTAAATTAGTACTTTCGATATATATTTGAGTTCCGTTCCATTTGGATATGTGTCTTACGAGAGACGCCATGTTTCTACGCGTTCGCAGCAGGTCATGCAGCTCGCTCAACCTAATTTCGCCATGGGGTTGGCCACGCCCCCCTTTTTAATGGCGGAAGTTGACGATACTTAGGAAATATTAATTTATTATCACTATTTACATCAAAATAATTGATAACTTGTGTTTCAGAATGCATTTAAAGACATTTAAACTGGAATGTTTTAATTTGAGCTTTAACAACCCGGTAGAATCCATATTATAAATGATCAGAATTTACCGTGTGCAACACGTTGTCATTGGCAACCATTCACAGCCACTTGCATAACTGTATCGTAGTACTACCTCAGAGTTTCATTCATAAGAGTTTGCCGTGTGCAAAAACTATTAAACCATTGGTCAGGGAAAGCTTTAATTAATTATTCATGTGCCAAAGTTGAAAGTTTAAACTAAGTCTAAACAGTATTTTAGTGATAAGGCAGGGAATGCGTTGCCTTATATAAACTATATAGTCATTGCGCATGACGGGATTGGTGGAATGAGATCACAGAATGTGGAGATGCAGTCCATGTTAAAAAATGACAAACCAAGTCGTACTTTAAAAATTCATAACTTTAAAACTACAACAGCTAAAAATATGATTTTGGTGTTATAATTCTTTAAAAAATTACATCTTTTCAACTATGCCATTGGTTTATTTTTACAAAAAGTTTAAATTTTCTTATCAAAGTCCCTACACTATTGGCCACTATTAGCGATGCTGACTCTAGCCTCTGGTATGTACGGAATATTAAACATTAAACAAGCTCAACGCTCGAAACAATCGATTAATGTATCGTGATCGTGTGGAATTCGGGAAAGAGAATTACTTTTATTTCAGATTATGATCCGGTGAGTCACAAAATCTGGCAAATTCCGAAATCCGGTATATTCCGGAATCCGGTTGTTCCGGATACATGTAAATCCGGCGGAACCGGATTTCACCGGATAGTGCAAAATCCGGCGGAACCGGATTCCGGACCGGACTCCGGCACACCCCTAGTGAGATCAGAGATAGACTTAAAGCTACATTTCAGTAATTTGGAAGGCTAGTAGTAGTAGTAGTATTAGTATTAAGTATGGCAGAGGCCCATAAAAGTAAATAAAAATAAAGCACAAACTTTATAAAAGTTTAAATTAGAAGACTACTTGTACTACTTAATAATACATTTATTCAAGTAAGTGGAATGTAAGTATGTACATACTTGATATCAGTGCAGTCTACTAGCTAACTGTAACTACTTTATTCTTTATTTAAAATTTAAATTCAAGCCTGCTAGACTAGACTAAAAAGGACGAAGTAATAGTAATACTATTTTAATAAATTTAATACCATTTACATTTCATTTGTACTAATAATAAGTTGGGCTTATTATTATTATTAACAATTCGTCACTCCAAAAGTTTGTCTTCACATAAATTTCATAAGACAAAAACTTTATAATTTCAAAACCCATGTGTACACGGGCTACTAATGAATCACTTCGATTGCTTTCTTAGTTAATGATTAAGTGGGCGTGCCCATGATGCGCTCCTTCCTTATTCTTTTGTAAACATTTAACGTAGGGTAGGTCACACCGCCGGCGAGTGCTTTTTCTAGCAAAAACTAGGTTTACCTTCTGGCTATCCGATGATATAAGTTATTTTCCGTGAGCTTAAGAAGATGTGGATGAGTTAGTTATATACTCAGTCCACTTTAAATGCTGTCAAAAATTAACCTTGATTGTCTATCTCTACACATATATTCATCATTGTATATATTTTCGTTCCGTCATGATTTCAATGCTGACTCCATAGTTGAACTCAGTGTCAGTGGTAGTGATGACCCGACACTTCCGCTTAAAGATGAAAATTAGTTCTTTTCCTGATTTTTATTTATTCTACCTCAAAAGATTTAAGAAAAGAAAATCAAATATGTTCGACTTACAGCTGCAATTCAAATTCTCAAAATGTTATTTTTATTGTACAATAAAGTGAAACAAATTTTAAAAATTTAAAATACAAAATAAAATAGTCCATTTATTCAGGAAGTTGACAAATTTTGTTTCATGCGCACACAAATGTAAAAAAGTTGCATTGCAAAGGAAACGGAATTATAACCTGTTGACAAAGTTTTCAACACTGTCAACAGTTCAAAACTACCATTAGTTCAATTATGAATGTGTATCGATGTGCTTCGTGTTTGGTTTTAACGTAATTTAAATTAATTGCCATGTTGCGGAAAAATAAAGCTAACACAATGGGAATATCTGGCGCATCACCTACGATTGTTGTTCCGTCAGCAAATGCTCAACTGATAAGGCAGGTTGACTGATCACTGTTGTCACTGTTGTGTTAGTGTTACACTGTGTTGACTGTTGGCTGTTGGTGATGACTGATGAGAATTAAATCTGAATTATGATTAAAAATGGTGTGAGGATAAAAAAATTTTTTAAAGCAAGGGTGCCCCATCAAAGATTTCTTTTTAAATTTTTTGTTTAAAAGCTGCTTTGGTGAAGAGCAGTGTTCAAGCTTGTTTATTAAAATACTAGATTAATTGAATTATTTATTTAAATGAAAGTGAAAGGTTCTTTCTTATTTTGTTGTTATTATATATGATAATAATAATGTGATGAATAAAACGCCAGAAAACTGCTTATCTTTACATCAGTGCTTTGTATCAAATATTGTGACCTGAGAACCTTTCTTTCATGGATAAAAAACAAATCAGTTGAAAACTGCTGGATTGGTACAACTAGTACCACTAAAAATAGTAAAGAGAATATATTGGTTTGGAATTATTATTGTATAAACACCTGTCATCAGAGGGATTTTGTGCAGCTTGAAGTAGTTAAAGCTATTCTTAAATATTAATTTGACATAAATGTATGCTTTTAATAATAATAATAATTATAAGGGGTCTTATATAGCGCGGTACCCCAGCCTAGGGCTGGGCTCACCGCGCTGTACATAAAAATTTTAGTATAATTAACATAAGTTGCTAAATTAAAAGCCCTTGGCATCTCTCAGTAGTTTACTTAATTTTAACTTGCTAAATTTTCAGACAAGAACTACAAAAAATGAATTTATGGGACAGCACTCATAAACTGAAAATGCTCCAAAATGGATATGTTGCTATCCCAATAGAGGCTGATGGAGATAACCTCTCAGTGGTAGAGAAACAATGGCCAGGCTACTCCACTGCATACATCGATTTACCTTTTTCTAAGAAGGTTACTTCAAAGAGAGATTCCCCTTCTGCCCAGCTCATGAGAAATGTCAGAGGATTACTGAATAGATCTGGACATTGTGAGTATACAAAATACACATTAACTTATATACCCATTATTGCGTACTATTATCAGTATGGAGAAATTAATCTCTTATTTAATTAAATGTATGGCTCGTTCTAAAAACAATACACAACAAAAGACGATACCAAATGGTAAATACAATAACAAAGAATACGATACTCAAACCAGGGCTAATTACAATCAATAGTTTTTATTATTTTAATTATACATTACGAAATCAAAAAATAAATTAAATTAAAGCTATAGACTTATAGTGTAATGATTGGCTTGTACCGGTAAAGTGTCAAAGAAGAAACAATGTTGTAAAAAATGTATAATGATGAAAATTATTGAAAAGGAATCTACACACACACAGTAAACAAATCTCTGTCTCGTGTAGCAAAGCAATAGCACACGCTCAAAATAACTCTTGTCTCTGAATCTGCCGTGTGTCGTTCAATTCCTAGGCTTTATATACCAGTATAGTATGTTTCTTTAGACAATTCTAGAAATCTACACATTGTACTAGCTTCCAGCTGCTTCTACAATATTCTACAATATTCGAATAATGAAACAGGCCATAGATTTGTTAATTGTAGCTGAGGTCAAAGGGAGACTATAATTAGTACACCACACCCTAATAGCGCTGCTGAACTTGGGGTCAGCTAGAGTTCACAGCACGGGAAATGTGACGTAAGCATGTCGTCTACATACCACCATAATATAATTATGAAACAGCAGGGGAAGAGAGGACCAGACATTTTCAGAGATTGGTATTTCAGGTTTGAAAAAAAAATGCAATGATTAGTTGCAATTTTTAAAAAATTAATCGATTTCTTTACTCTTTGTGAGGGAACTATTTCCATACATTCTCAAAAGCTTTAATTTAATTACACATATCCAAATATTTTGCAGGTGAAGATTTGCTTAATGAAGTGCCAACAAAATGGGAAAGACATGGAGATCTTGTTATTATTCCACAATCTTCCTTTTTATCATCAGAATGGCAGACAATAGGTTTAGGTAACTCTTTGGAAATGACGAAAAAATAGCTCTATACAATAAAAATTTTGTACAAACTCACTTTTTAAAGTGAAATCGGCAAAATATGTTTGTCTCTTAAAAGCTACTCTTATTAGCTTAGATAATAATTTTTAAGACTGTACATGTTTTTCTTTGAAGCTCTCTTAGCCCTTGATTTGTTGTACAATGGGTCTAAGCTTAGATAATAATTTTTAAGACTTTACATGTTTTTCTTTGAAGCTCTCTTAGCCCTTGATTTGTTGTACAATGGGTCTAAAAGTAAATTTCAAAATGAAAAATTCAGCCTTCTTATGCTGCCATTACCAAAACTAAATGTCAAACTAACTGCAGGTTTTTTTTCCCCATAATACACAATGAATGTGAACAACTTTTAGAAATATTAATTCTTTTTCTTCCATTTTTCTGAGAAAGAAAACTTGTGGCAGGTGGTAGCAAACTCTTTGTGCTGCAGTAGACTGGCTAGGCACTCGCCAGTTTCTAACGATGGCTTTCGCAGCTCTCGAGTAGTACTGCTTCTGGGTGAGGATGCACTTGTTTCACACATCGACAATGGGATTAGGTATAAACATCTGAACACTGTATACTGATGAGAGCTAACTTTAACATTCATCTATTTGAATAGTGTTTTATAATAACTTTCTTTTACCTGCATAACATCCATGAAAGGTACCTTTTGAATTTAAATAATTTATTTACTTTGTTATCTGTGGATTTATTGAAGAATGGGGGTGGGGCTGAAAATTTGACAAAACATGCATACAATTAACACACTGTATAAGAATCCGAATTAGTGGCCCCCCTCCCCCCCTTTTCAAGGCTCGCAACACTTCCCGGAACTATATTAATATTCTAAATACCCACCGGCTCTTACACCGCAAATTTATTCCATCAACTATTTCAGAAAAACAAATGAAAATATTATACACCAAACACACTTGGGATATTTTTTTAAAAAGAATCTCATTTAACACAGTTATAAGTATAAGGAATTTTATTTTATCTCCCTCTTGTAAAGCAGGAAAAACTGATTTGTGGGGGTGGTGCTGAAAATTTGATAAAATGTGTTGATTTAGCATAGAGTCTAGGTTCCAAGTTTGAGCTCGGTAGGTTGACGGGAAGTGGGTCAATTAGCCAGCAGAAGATTTTGTCTGCAGCCAGCCAACCACGAACAAAAACTAAATTAATATAAAGGATTTTAAAAAAACTATGCTGCTTATCATATTTGATTGAGACATATTTTATATTTCTTTACTTAGATATTGTTATGACGTCACCAAGTGCATGTTTAGTGCAGGCAATATAACAGAAAAGCTGAGGGTTGCCAGCATGGACTGTAGAGGAGAAACAGTTGTAGACCTCTATGCAGGTTTGATTTTTATTATATAAATATTAGAGTAATAATTGAGAACCAAGGTTTCCTTTTTTTTTTCTTTCTTTCACCCACCAGTCATTCTGAATGAATCTCATTACAACCAAATGTGACCCCCATGAGATAATGTTTATGCTGGCAGCTAATATTTAGCCATTAAAACCTCCTAAATGGCCTCATTACATAGGGTCAAACCCCACTATAATTCGCTTTCCATTAACCCAAATTCGGATATAACATATAATCTGGTTGTGATGTGGCTCACAAAATTTATTTTATTCATTCATAATTGAACATGAAAAAAAGGAGTATACATTTTTAAATTCTTGCACAACTTAAGCATAAATCCAATAAAGTAGTCCAGCTTCAACACCACTTCGCCCACTTACCACAAAAGATTTTCAAAAATTAGTAAAAATAAAACATTCAAGTCGTCTACATTCAATTCAAAGATTGGGTAGGAAAGTATATTCTATTTGTTATGTTTTCAATGTTTTTATTTCAAACATGTAACATAAACATATATATACATAAATACAAGTTCTCAATCAGGTGTTGACTTTCTGCTTGTGTCCGGAACACGGTTCATAAACACACTCTTTCACTACAGTGTCCCTGCGCATGCGCGCTATTTGCCCTAGATGGCTATCGGTATGCTCCAGTCCGCCATAACACTACTTTTTAATGCTTTTAAACTCGACTTTGGTGAAAAGTCTTTTTTTTAAAAAGTTTTTATATACAGTCGAACCCACTTATCTGGACCTCGGTTTACTCACCAACCCTGTTATGTCCACATTTGCGAAGTGGAAGCTCCAAATTCTCTCTTTGTCTTAGCAATTTCTCATCGGTTATGGCAATACTTTAATGTTGCCGAACCCTGATATCTCGAGCACAAAAGGCGGAAAATTTGTCACTTAACATCAGTTATCTCGATCCCCATGACTAATCGCCCGCTTTTGAACTCTGCAAGAAGAAATAACAAACAACAAATAAACAAGTTTTTCATAATTAAAAACTATTATTTATTTCTCAAAATACAGGACTTGTGTTTTAGAATGAACCTAGAAGTAATTTAAATGAATATGTTTTAATTTGAGGTTTAAAATCCCGGTAGAGTCCGTATTATAAATAATCATAATTTGCAGTGTGCAAAATGGGTAGCCATTCACAGTCACTTGCATAATGGTTATGCCTTAGTACAACATCAGACTTTCATTCATGAGAGTTTGCCATGTACAAAAGCTATTAAAACATTGGTCAGGGAAAGCTTTAATTAAGTAGTCATGTGCCAAAGTCGAAAGTTCAAAATAATTAGTACCTAAATAGTATTTTAGTTATAAAGGGATGCGTTGCCTTTGATATATAGTCATTGCGCAAGACACGATCAGCAGAATGAGGTCGCAAATGTGGAGGCTTCGTCCATAGTAGAAAATATCAAATGAACTCGCACTTTAAAAATTCGTAGCTCAAAAAGTACTAAAGTTAAAAAGTTTATTCTTGTTTAATTTTTTTAAATTTGAAATTTGCTCTAAATAAGTAATAAATGTTATATCAAAAAAATTATTATTATTTTTTTGTAATGAACTACCTGAATTTATTAACACATATCATGTACATTTCAAGCACATGTTAATATATTGCAGCCATATTGGTGTTCATTTATCTCAATCATCGGCTATCTCGACGCTTTTTGGCAAACCCTGAGGCCGTCGGCCGGGTTCTACTGTGTTTTGTATTAAATTTTTGTCCTAAGCCAAGCAATGCTACATGCAGTTATATCTCTAGCTGGGGATTTACAGAGAAAAATTGAAACAAGCTGGAATTCAATGGGTTAAATTGGTATAAAACACTTTTTGCTAGCAAACGGATCTGTTTAGAAATATAAAAGAGGAAAAATGTAAATTCTCCTTTGTTCTGCATCAACATATCCTCTAGCATGACATTGAACTCACATATTGGTGGATTTTACACATAATACATTTTTTTAAAGCAGAGTTTTAGTTTGGGAAGATTCCTGCTTCGTATTGCACGGTGACTTATGCCATTATTATATTAAACTAGATCAAAAGACCAATGATGACATTTTAGGGAATTATTGTGTTGCTTGTTTTTAAGATGGAACCACCTGTACCGTCCCAGTGACTGAATGTTTACAGCATTGTATTTTGTATATTCACAAAGGCATTGGGTACTTCACTTTACCATATTTGGTTCATGCTAAAGCTGAGCATGTTCATGCCTGTGAATGGAACCCTGATGCAGTCTTGGCTCTACAGAACAGCCTGATGGCCAATGGGGTATCCAGCAGGTGTACAGTCCACCCCGGGGACAACAGGCAGGTATGAGAATGTTCTTGTGTATCTGATATTGCAGGAGTATGAAGTTTATATCTAACAAAGTGAAGTGGGGGTCGAAATGGCATATTTTGCTTAAAAATTGTGAATTTTAATTTTTTTAAAAAAATATTATTTTGTATTTAATATTAAGTTGAAATAACGCTGTACATAAGTGTAAATGTTCTTTTGGTTATTGCAATTTCTATACACGTACCCATACTGTATGCTTTTGTACATATTTGTCTCAATGGGTAATTGCCATGAACTATACTTACTTATTTATACTTACTATTTATTTTGATAATTTTTATGTCTTCAAATGGGCTCAAAGCTATTATCATGTTATCACCACTTTTCAATGAATTAACTGATTCTCATACGGATGAAAACATCATTAGCCTTGAGGTAATCATCTGTTCTGAATTATCTCACCAGCACATTCTTAACAAATATGTTTATATTTTTTCAGCTCAAACTTGCCTCTCTGGCAGACAGGGTAAATCTCGGTCTTATTCCCAGCTCAGAAGAAGGTTGGCTGACTGCTGTCCATGTGCTGAAGAGCCGAGGAGGAATGCTCCATGTGCACGGGAATGTTACTACTCATCAAAAGGACAATGCACAAGATGAAATTGATTTAAAGTGTGCCAAGAGCAGTGAAAATGTTAACGAGGTAACTTGTGGTAACGTCATCTCAAGGAAACTGACTCACGTTCTTGGTGATACGGTCCAAGAGATTGATGGTACAGGTGAACCATTAGAAACACAAAGTCATCACACCAAAGACCCATCAACTTGTCATGGCAGGGAAGAAAACAACTGTGTTACAATGTACCACCATAAGATAGCAACCAATGATCTAATGCTAAATTGTGGGCAAGGTGTGGGTGCAGGATTTGCTCACAGCGACAAAGACTTCATTATTACAGAACTAGCATCAAACGGTGACCAATCCCATTTATTATTTGATGGAGATGCTAAACAACATAAAATGGATGTTAATGGTAGCGACCCAGTGTGCCAAACTTTCTTTTCAAAGACTGGAAAAGATGCAATTTTACTAGCGTGTAAAGAATGGTCAAATCATGTTTGTGCTAAGATTAAGTCATTTCTTGAAGTTGACAAGGGAGGGGAGTGGGCAGTTGATGAGAAACATGTTGAATTAGTGAAGTGGTATGCACCACATGTGATGCACGTTGTTCTGGACTTAAATTGCAGACCACTTGATCTAATGGGAGAAAAGTGATGTCTAACAAGAAGAATGGTTTTGTCACAGTGAGAATAAATTTTTTATAAGCCATCCCAGTAGTTGTTTTTTTAATTTAAAGCCAAACGTTTAAAAAAAAGTAAGTGTCAAGGCATTGTCCAGTATATTACGCTACTCATAATGTAATCGTCAAAAATGAATTGAACACATCTTTTTTTTTTTTGGTTTAATTTTTATGTCTTTAAATAAATTGATGATAAAAAGAAAAGTGCTTCTGCTTTCCTTCAGTCAAGACTTAGACACTGCAATCCTGTCATTTATTCCTAATCTTTTTGGCTAGATTTGAATTAAAAGAAACAATAATTAATTATTTTGTTAATATAAACAATATTTATTGAGTATTCTACTAGTCCATTGTTTATCAGCTTAGAAAATATCAGTGAAAATTTAAAAAAACACAAAACTTGTAAAATTGAAAAAAAGTTAAAGAAAGAAAAGATAATCAGATCATACAAATTGGTGCCATATGTCAGGAGACGAAACAGTTGAGTAATATCAGTAAACAAGAGCATTATTCAAACATTTTAAATTGTTACGGGAAATCAGATGAAACAAAACAACAAATACATCTTCAGTTTCTAAAAAAAATTAATGAACTTCTTGGGCAAAAGAACTGCTTTCTTTTCTGTTAAGATTAAAAAATATGGAAATAGGCACACAAAAAATCCATTTCACTTTATAATTCAATTTTTTGTATTTGTTTGTCTAAATGGTTGAGCCACTTAATCTTTAAGTTTAAGGAAAAGATATGAAGAAAAATATGAATTTGTAAAGGTTTCTATAAAGAATATTTCTTTTTTTATTTTTAAATAATTCTTGCAACCTTCCCTCACAACTGAGAGAGAAAGTTATTTTGTGAAATTTTGATTTTAAATCATTAATTTATTATTTATACAATAACAAATAAGAAATATACATACTACATATGGGTTTTAATAATATATAGAGCAAAAACATTATCATTTAAAACAAAAAATGTTTTAAGATTGACACAACTTAAAAGTAAAGTAAAGCTTTGACCAAAGGAAAAGATTGCCACTTGGAAAAAAAAAATGCATAAAAGTTCATTAGCTGCAAAAGCAGATATGTAAAAGGATGATTATGCGGTTGAGTAGATGCAATGTAGATTTTTTGGGGGTCTTATTTCCTCATATATCTTAAGAGCCCACGATCAATGTATTGATAATTGATCATTCTGGTATCTATTTATGTAGAGGGGATTCGCAATGTTTCTGTGCCTGGTATTGAATAGGATACTTCACTGGATGCAAGGGCAAAATAATTTTATAATCTACCTCCTTTGGGATAGTTTTATAATTTTTTCTTCTTTTTATATTACTGAACAGATAATTTACATTTACATATATGGTGGAAAAAAAATCTTATGTGTTAACTGACTTAATAAGACACCTGTATCCATATTTTTATAATCATAAAGTAAAAAATGCTTTAATCTGTATTTATGATTGTTTGCTTCGGGGTAGTATTACTAAGGTGCACAACCCAATTGGTCAATTAAAAAATTTAATTTACCAGTTACTGTATTTTTGGAATCGGAAATTCAAAATTCACGCGATAATATTAAGATAATACACATTTCATATTAATATTACAATTATTTAAATTTGGCTCAAGTTGGATTCTTAGAAGCAATTAGTAATGTAAATTTTATATCTTATCCTCAAAAAAAAAAAAGGCCTGAGCTTTTTAACCAATAAATAAAATGGGTGCTGAATAAAATAAAAAAATCTAAAATGACTATATCACGGACAAGATTTTGGAAAACCCCTTATCATATCAAAAACAGAAGGATAGGGACCTATTTTCACCAAGATGGCAGCCATTGAAAACTTGTCAGATAGTATTTTAGAATTTCCTTATTAAAAAACAATTTTTTTTTAGCAAAAAAGAAAGAAAAAAAGAAAAACTTTACTAAACTGACACAGCAAAGGTTTTTATTTTCTGCATTATTTGAGGGGTGGGACTTCTTATGAACTAGATAAGGCAAACTGTCAAACAAAAGCACAAGAGATGAAATTTGTATTTGTGTAATCTTAAAGTAAGACAACTGCTGCTGCAATAAATAAGATATTATTCATAGGGTGACAAAAATGCAACACCTAATTATCATTTGTAAAAAAAAAATAAATGCCATTAAATAAAGTGGTCATATTTCAGAAATGTAAAAATACTGTAGAAAAACCCCCCAAAAAGATTGAAATAGTTCTAAAAAAGTATTTATTACTAAGTGTGGTTTCATAAATAACTTTGTTGTCATTTTATGTTGTTGAGCTAAATAATCTTTCAGTGACATTATTTTTTTTTTTTTTCAATTTTGAATTATTTTGAAATATTAAAAATAACAAAAATCTGTTAAAAAAGCTTAAATGGCTATTATAACAGAAATATAAGTCAATATTTAACAATTTGAATTTTCTTTTTTTTTTGAAGAACATGGCTATTTTTTAAGTTATAAATAATATAATATGTTTGATTTTAAGTGTAAAATAAAAAAATGCTGAAAACTAATTTTTTTTAAAGGAATTCAATACTAAAATGATCCAGTATGAAACTATTGCACATAATAAAACAAATAGTAATGAGGATATTTGTATTTATAAATGAATAAACTATGTTTTTTTTACAAAAGATAAAGACACAATTAATAGTCAGTAATAAGATACATTTATGATAATTTTGCTTTGTTTCCATTGTGTTCCAAATAATAAATGTATTAAATTAAACTTGTAATTAATGAAAACATCATAAAATTGCTAATGAAATGGAAAGTTATTTGAAATACACATTGATGTGAGCAATGGAGTAAGATATGTCACAGGTAGAATCTTAAATTGATCATCAATAAACAACCTTGAAAATAAAATTGATTAAAAGAAGTTTAAAAAAACATTTTAAAAAATCCAAAAACAGAATTACATAAAGGAAATGATAAAAACTGGAATGCAAACACATAATACTACCTCTTTTAAAAAAAAAAAGAAAAGAGGAATAACACATTTTTTCCAAATATAATGGCAACATTAATTAGCACACAAAAGAATAGAATGGCATAATTCATTTTTTTTTTATTATTGGCAGGTGGTCTTTAATAGAAATATAAGAATTTAACTTTTAAAAAAAAAAAACACACTCCTAATCTCTTGACATTCATACAAAATTATATGTCATAATATCTTTAATGTTCCAACAAAATGTGGGTAATAATTATCACAATTTTAGTTCTGGGTAACAAAATTAAACATGATGTCAACAAACTGGTGATGTCTGCTCAATTTAAGTTAAATATAAAATGTCGGGATACAGTATGCAATTATGATTTTGCGATGCTGTGGTTTTTTAAAAAGGAAATGTAATTGGTATGGCAGAGAGTATATATAAACAAGTCACTCGACATAAATTAGATTAGTAAAGATAAATACCTTGAAAGCACAAGACTTCTTTAATTTTACAACTAGATAAATTTTAATGTTAACATTTTTTTCTTAAAGTTAATAAGGGCAGAACCTAGAAAACTGAATATCCAATGGAATAATGATAAATTTGTGAACAGTTTTTTTTCCTTCAAGATTTAGCAATTCTCATGAGAAGGAAGTCTTTATTTCACAAAATTAGGTATTGAAAAGTATATTACTATATTACCCCTGACATGTGTTTCGCTTGCAATTTTTTCTTCTTATAAATTTATTTATTTTATGGCTTTCCTTATAGCAAATATATTTATAATGCATTGCTCAGTAACTGTAATAACTATTGGCAAATTAAAAAATATACCATAATATTCAGATTCTAAATTAAGATACTGGCAAAGCACATTTGAAGTATCCATTTCATTAATATCACAGTAACCCTAGCCAGTTTAATTTGAAAAAAATAAATAAAAATTAAAGCATGCATACAAATAAATTCAATGCAAATATCATTCACATCATAAAAAGATAAAATAATAGCATTCATGCTGAGCTATATTTTCTGTATTTTAAGATTAAATAGTTACATAGAGGAAGTAATAAATAAATTTCACAGTCCCATTTATGTAGAATGGCAGCTCAAAGCAGTTTGAAATACTGAGAGAAAAAGTGCATCAGGGGAAACATTCAAAACATTAAAAGGTTGACAAATAATTGAGGCCACATGCTCTTTTTAATATGGGGGTTAACTTTAACTAAGTATCATGGGTCAAACTTTAACTAAATATCATGGGTCAAACTTAAATCAAGTTGAACAGGTCATAGTAGTGTATATCTGTCACTGGTTGTCTTTAAAGGTAATCAATTTGTTGTGTATCTAGATCACCTAATAAAGAATATTTGAAAAAAACTTAATAAAGTAGAAGGGTTACAGAATGTAATTTTGAGAAATGAAATCTCAAGAAATTTAAAAAATGAGTACCGATATTAATAATAAATGCATCTAATTACTCCAAATATTTTTGATGCCTTATGTTTTTTTTTCTGTTTAACCAGCTGACAAAAATGGTAGATGGCAAAACATATGTATAGAACATATAGATTCGGCAGTGGTTTAAATTTTTTAAAAATATTATAAATTACAGCAAGCCAGTAATTACATGCTGATCTTTGGCAAGAAGTAGTATATCTGAACAGTTTGAGTGGAGATGAATTTTCAAGACTATTATTAGTTCACCCTTGTACAATTAAATCTCATTGGTACAATTAAAGCACAAAGTGAAATTAAGAAAAACAATGTTTAAAAATTAACCAATCAACCAGCTTTGAGTTTGTGGAAGTCAGTAAAAAAAAAAACAACAGAGCTGCATCAAAACTACAAGTAAACTTCATTTTGATTAATGATTAAAAAGGAACATAATGGTTGAAATTTTTTATTCAATTTCAAGAATGAGGCAGAATAAAAAAAATTAACTAAAATTGTTATTTTTTTTTTAAACTCACCAGCTGAAGTTTAACTTCAAGCAACAATGTTGTGTTCAAAAGGAGAAATAAAAAAAAAAATTACAAAAAAAATCATAGCTAGGAATTTCTCTCAGATGATAATGTTTTTTCCATTGCATTTAGTGTGGGTGATGACTGAAACCAAGTATTCTAAGAATGAAACATGAACCATAAAAATATCAAGAGTTACAATGCATGCATTTAAATACTTGGCAACTGTATCACATAACAAACTGATTTCTGTTCATAGAATGCATAGCATTCATTTGGTTTTAAA